AGCAACAGCTAAAGGAAATACCCATTTTAGATTCTAGTTTTTAATTTTTCTATGTTGTTAAGTGAAAAAGTATACTTTTTAGTGACACGGGTAGTGAGTCGACTGTTCTTTAGGACCAGCAGCCTGTCGCATGTGTACTTTCTTTGAATGGCATTTGAAACTTTTAATTAGTAATTTCTAATGTCTGTGGCTCTTTTTACATATTTATGGGTTGCTCCCCAGTCCATTATTTTGGCCTATTTTTCTAGAAAAGGAAAAGATGACTAAATAGACTGTGATAACTTTTGTTTGAAAACTGAAGAATGATAATGAAGACTTGTAGAGAAGAAAATGATCCTCTAATTTTCTTATCTTTTAAATTTTTCTTTGGATGCCTGGGTGGGTCAGCCATTAAGCATCTGCCTTCGGCTCAGGTCTTGATCACAGGATCTTGGGATCGAATCCCATATCAGGCTTCCTGCATGGAGCCTGCATCTCCTCCCTCTGCTTATTTCTCTGCCTTTCTCTCTGTGTGTCTCTCATGAATAAGTTAATAAAATCTATAAATAAATAAATTAATTAATTAATTAAAATTTTCTCATTTTTCACTTCTCTGTCTTTTCTAATTTCTGGGAGATTTCCTCAATTTTAAACTCTTCTACTTATGCTATTGTATTTTTAATTTTGATTTAAACCTTTTCCTTAGTTCTTTTCCTATAGCATTCTGCCCTTCATGTATGGAATATTTTCTGTTATCTGAGAATATTACTGTTGGCTCTTCTGTATTCTCCCTGAATTGTAATTGTTTCTTTCAAATTGTTTTTCTGTTTTGGTCTGTGTCTTTCATGTTTGATGCTTTCCCTAATTGGCTCTTATTTAGAAGCACACAAAGGCCAGATCCTTGCCTTCTGTTTCCTGTAGTTCTTCAATTACCACAAAGTATAAGAGGAAGGTGATGACAATATATAGTGCATAGAAAAGCCACTAAAGTTAAAAATGCTGGGGATTATAAAACTGCCTGCATTTAAAGCAAAAGCCTCACACTTAACATTTGATTAAAGTTAAGCCTGAAGTTTAAAAATGTCTTTAAGCATTCTTTGAAATATCCATTTTAGGGTGTTTGCCAGCTTCCCAGTAAAAATGATGAAAAGGAGTATCCACACAGGAGAATTGATATAAGGTATTACTTAAAATTTGTTGCTGACCTATTAATTTTTCCCTTTTCTCTTTCCTTTGTCCTCTGTGTATCTTGGGATTCACATAAATGTCTCAAGCCCCCTTCATTGTGAACTGCCATGTGTTCATGCTATAGACACCACTTAGCCTGAAAATATGTAGAGTAATGACTGTGCTCAGAATTTTTATCTATTTTCTCAGAATTTGCGTCTCATCATGATGCCTTCCACAGCTCAGAAGTAGTTTCCTGCCTGGGGAAAGTTGGTTGTAATACGTGATACCGCTGATACTGCTCTTGTTTCTCCACACCTTGCACAGTTTAGTTTACTGAAACCTAGACTAACTGCAAGCTTGGAGCAATTTCAACAGTCTACCTAATCATAGTCTCCTCCTTAGGTTATTAAACCACATAGACTTATTGTAGGTGTTTGTGCCTTTTTGATAAGAGCCCTATTTTTGCCAAATTTGAAATTTTTGGTGAAAGATGTATTTATCTATCTATTTTAGGTTGATACCCAAGGATCAGTATTACTGTGGTGTTCTCTATTTCACTGGGAGTGATATTTTCAATAAGAATATGAGAGCTCATGCCCTAGAAAAAGGCTTCACAATCAATGAGTACACAATCCGTCCCTTGGGAGTCACTGGTGGGTATTTGTGTCTGCATTAGAGATACTCCTGGTCATCTGGAGAGAAGTTATTTTCAAAGATGCTTTAGCAGTTTTGGTTTCTCTAAAAAGCCTTTGAGTAGTTTTGCCAGTTAATTGTAGTTTCTTTGTATTATGAGTCCCTCAGGCAACAAAAGGGTCTTTAAATCCATAGGTGCTCTCAAGCCCTCAATTGAAGGCCTTGATGGCAAGAGTTATTTCTAGCTCTATTAGAATGAATTAATGATGGTCAATAAAAAAAATCTCATAGATCTAAAGTGGGTTTCTTTGTTTTTCATGTACCTCCAAGACTTCTGAAGATACTAGGTATCATTGCTTTTAGTGCCAGAACAAAACTGGTAGCTTTGGCCACTTGCTTTCTAAAGTTTAAAGAATTAAAAACAAAACAAAACAAAGAAAATAATAAAGTTTAAAGAGTGGGAGTGCCTGGCTGGCTTAGTTGGTAGAGCATGCAACTCTTGATTTCAGGGTGTGAGTTCAAACCCCATTTTGGGTATAGAACTTACTTTAAAAAATTTTTTTACGGTTCCCTGGGTGGCTCGGCAGTTCAGCGCCTGCCTTTGGCCCAGGGTGTGATCCTGGAGTCCCAGGATTGAGTCCTGCGTCAGGCTCCCGGCATGGAGCCTGCTTCTTTCTCTGCCTGTGTCTCTGCCTCTCTCTCTCTCTCTCTCTCTGTGTGTGTGTGTCTATCATGATAAAATCTTTTAAAAAAATAAAATTTTTTTAAAAAATATTTTTTTAAATAAAAAAAGTTTAAAGAGTAAGAATTGAAAAAAAATTTTTTTAAAAAGAGTAAGAATTGTTTAATCTATGTTAACATTTCACAGTATCCTGTGTAGTTTATTAATTCTCTACTAGGAAAATGAAGATTTTGTCATTTTGTCCTTGAAGTATAAAACAGGGCTTTCTTCCCTGGTAGATGAAAGCAGTGCTTCTTGAATGTAAATGTGTGTACAGGCTACATGGGGACCTCATTAAATGCAGATTCTAATTGGAGGGGACCCCAGATTCTGCATTTCTAGTAGGTTTCCAGGTAATGCCCTTTACTACTAGCCCAGGGACCACATTTTGAGTTGCAAAGGAAACTAACTAGAGTATTTCATATGATCCACGGTGGCTACAGTGAAGATCCAGCAGAGAGGAGAATCATGGATTAGGATCACATCAATGGCCCTAGTTGGGATACTCAGGTTCCTTTTGTAGCACTAGTAATATATGTGACAAAGCTGGAACAAAGGCTCATGTGGGAGGGTAGGGGAGGTCAATATCATGTTTTAGTGGTTTGGGTACCATTTTCTCTTCCTTCTGAAAGTGAGTTCCATATGGCTATCATCCCTAAACCCTCATAACTAAATTCCAAAACTGGTTTGTAAGTAAGTTTCTTTTCTCTGTACTTGTAGGAGTTGCTGGAGAGCCTCTGCCAGTGGATAGTGAGAAAGACATCTTTGACTACATCCAGTGGAAATACCGAGAACCCAAGGATCGGAGTGAATGAGGCCATTCTTCTCAGGCCAGCCCAGCTCAGTTGGAGTCTTTTTTTTTTTTTTTTTTCAGTTGGAGTCTTAATTTATTTCTTAACCTTTGCTATGTAAGGGTCTTTGGTGTTTTTAAATGATTGTTTCTTCTTCATGCTTTAGCTTGCACTGTAGTCAATAAAGCCTCTAGTACTATTATCAGATGTTCTTATTTTTTAGCAAATATGTATCTTCACAATCACACTTTACTAAGGTTTTAGTGGAGAGAAGAGATGTTAGCAGTGTTCAAAGGGAATTTTTATTTTCTCCTTTTCTGCTCTTCTGTTATAAACCACATTACCCTATTACCTTTCGTCCTATTTATTAATTTACAGATTAATCAGAGACCAGGCACTGGAAGATGGTTCAATATGCTTTAGACATTAGGGACCTTCATAAGTTTAATTTTTTTCTTTGGTTGATTTGGCCCCCATATTCAATTTTGTCCTATATACTTCCTATATACTTAAAACCTAAGAGCAGGTATGTGCTTTATTTCTTAAATGCAATCTAAAATTGTTATAATTCATCAGAGAGAGCTCCCCTAAGCAAACCACTTCTAATATGCGCCCACATGTACAAAATATGGCCTCTTCAGCTTCAACAAAAATTTTACTTATTCACCCTAGTTTTCCTCCAAGGCAACGTTTAAGTTTAAATGGTCAAGTATATAAATTGAAATGTTCCTTGAAAGCTCTACTTTTGAAATTATATAAATGTAATGTGTATAATTAAATTAATATGATTAAATTAATATATTTTCATATAAACCATGTATTTGGTTTTATAAACCATGTAATTTGTTTTATATAGAATTTTTACATATTTAACATTATATAAATATAAATATAAAGTTATGAAATGATTAAGTAAAGCTATTGAAAGTAAAAACACTCCTTGAAGGCCCTAGCTTTGAAATAATGTAATCTACATAATTAATATAACTAGGTTATAATATAATTTAATGTTATAATTTAGTAAAATAATTCAATGTAATATAAATTACATAATGTAAAATTACATGTAATTTATATAATATAAATATGTAATATAAATGATATTAATTTGTATAATTAAAAGTTATATAAATATAAAATGTAAAAAGTTATCAAATGATTAAGTGAAGTTATCAAAAACAAAGTATGTGCAAATGCTTTGTAACTTGCAAAGGACTATACACACATAAAATACTGCCTTTTGAATTTCATTTCTTTATTAACCAAATTATTTTGTAGTGAAGGGCATTTCCCTTACAAGAAATGAAAGACAATAAGAGGGATTTTAAGGAAAAATTTTTTTTCTTTACTGTGATAATTTTCACTGGTAAGATAAGAATTAACTGCAGAGACCATCACTTATTTTCCCCATAAGCTACTGTCAGGTACTAAAATTTCACCAGAAATTATGTAAAGATTTATTTGAGTCACTAAGTCAAACAAAACTTTTCTGTAGAATCCCATGACTTTTCTGCAGAAATAGACAAAAAGCCCATGCCAGTTTTCCCTCCTCACAAGGCAGCATCTCACAGTGCTCTGGGTCTATCTCAGTTGCTCCCAGATTTGATTTATAGAGATATTTGTATAAGAGATTTTTAAATTAATGTCTGAGATTTCTGTTGGAATACAATAAGGAGTTGTCTTTATTTTGAAGTATTTACAGCTTTTTAGATTTTTTGGCATACTCTTAACCGTGCAATTTGTCGGTTGCCAGTTACTTGATTTCGACATAACAGTCCAGGACCACAGTCACAGCGCTGGAAGATTTCTGGAGCTTGAGCAGTATCTTTCTGCCCTCTCCTAGAGCAGACCTGTCCCTCCAAGAGGACTGGCTTACAAATTTTAGTCCAAAAATGACGAGCACAGCAAAGTCCAGCTCTACAGTCAGAAGTCCTAAGACATCTTTCTCCCTCTTGCCCTGTAACAAGATTCATATGGGCTGTTACCACAAATGGGGAAGATGGCAAATGGGGGCATTGTTACTGGGATGAGATGTAGGATCTAGAGCTGAAGGCTACAAAGTACAAATATAAGCAGCGCGCAGGTCTCCCAGAGCTAGATCTTACACTAAAAATAGACAAAATGAGGGATGCCTGGGTGGCTCGGTGGTTGAGCATCTGCCTTTGGCTCAGGGTGTGATCCTGGAATCCCAGGATCGAGTCCCACATCGGGCTCCCTGCAGAGAGCCTGCTTCTCCCTCTGCGTGTGTGTGTGTGTGTGTGTGTGTGTGTGTGTGTTTCTCCTCTTCTCTCTGTGTCTCTTATGAATAAATAAAATCTTAAAAAGAATAAAAATGCATCTACTTTCATTTTTATTTTGCCTACTGAGGAGCTAGAAAGGGAAATCTGCATTTGTTAAATTACAGACTATAAAAAGATGTATGTGTTAAAATTCACTTAAAGATTTTTTTGCTCACTAGTTCATTATTATGGCTAGTCCCCTGCCCTCTGGACTGGCTGACTGCCTTATGCTACTCCCTATGTGATCTCCGGAGCTGTGGATAGAGACAGATTAGAAACTGTGTTTCTGGATTGGGGAGTTGGGTTCAGCCTATCCCTAAAAGCCTAGGAGGAAGAAATGTTTTTCTTTTTTATTTTTTAAGATATTATTTATTTATTTGAGAGAGAGAGAGCACAAGCAGGGGAAGGGGCAGAGGGGAAGCAGACTCCTCATGAAGCAGGGAGCCCCACGTGGACCTAATCCCAGGACCCTGAGATCATGACCTGAGCTGAAAGCAGACACAACCAACTGACCACCCAGGCGCCCCAGGAAATGCTCTTTAAAACAAAACAAAACAAAACAAAAAAAAAGTGTTCAGAATGTTTCTCTTACCCCTACTGCCTTGTGATTTAATATTTGGCTTCCTTTTGGGTTTGTTTTCCTGAACTGGATGCTCAGTTGTTCCTTTTGTGTCCACATCATCTTGGTCATCGATCTGTCTTTCCAATATTGGCGCTCTATCTTCCATCATCGTACAAGCATCTGAGACAACCAGGTGTGGTTAGAGTTATTAGCTTCAAGGATTAGAACCACGGACATGCTAATTATTACACTGTTACATAGTTTAGCCCTACCTCTGCCTTGAGTTTATGTATAACTTTCATGATTTCTGGGACATATGCACTAAATATTTACATGTACATACGGCAGAGAAAGCAGTTAAGTAATTAGTGGAATCCAAGTGAAAATGAAAGAATTTGAAAGATTCCAACTTGAACCCTTCTTTTAAAATCATCTCTAAGTTGTTGACAAAAATGGTGGCCAGGAAAAAACTATTTTGTTGCATTGAGAAAAGGCAGCTGCATAAATTACTTCAAGCGTGAATCCAGGAAACCTTCAGAGAGGGCCTATCCTGGATCATTCTAGCCTATGAGACTTGGATGCAGTCTTCAGTTTAAAGCCACTGTTCACAGGGGCACAGCAGTCCTGCAAGTGTTTGTGGTAGCTCACCATTCAAGCAGAGCATTCCAGGGCAGCACATGGCACTACGTTGGCACCTCCTCTGTAACCCACGACACGTAGCACAGAATGGCTTCTCCTCTTGAGGTTTGAGGCAGAATTTTCTAGAACTGCAGTCCTTGTCAGACAGGCACTGTGAACCCTGTTAGGAAAAACTCGTCACGGAGCTGGGGAATCCAACAAGATGTAAGATGACTTTTCATTCCAAGTGGGAGGTGAAGGAAGCAAAATCATAATGGCACTTCGAATGCAGTGACAGACCTTCAGTGGCACCTTAATTTTTCATTATAATTGGTTTTCTCCCACAAATGGCAGATCAAATCTCCAGTGAAGAAACCTGTGTGCTGCAAAGGTTGTTTTCGAAAAATTGTCCTACTTTTAACACTCAGGATTTAATTTCCTTGTGCCCTTTGAAAGTGGAAGAAAACATCTTCCCATGAATGAGATTTTTGATTCAGACCTATTAATTAATCATTAAGTGTAAGGCTAGTGTTTGTGCCATTCGGATTTGGCGTTTTAAGTCTAGCGAGCCACAGCAACCTCTGCGTCCCTGTGCCAGCCAGCCCCTCGGTGAGCCTTCCCCTAGGGCACTACCCCCTGCCCCCTGAGCTGCGCTTTACCTTACGAGCCCCTTCAGCATAGCTCTTGATGTTGTTGAAGTCCAGAACCAGAGCTCCCAGGGGGGCGCAGAACCAGCTGAGCCCCAGCAAGACCACCACCACCATCCTTTAATCCCCTTGACCTTCTCAGACCTCTCGACAACCTCCAAACGGGGCCGTTTTAAACCCACAAGAGGGCAAATGGAAACCTGACAGGTCGTCTGGAACTGCTTTTCCTGGAGGAGAAGCAAATCTTTCTCTGCGTAAGGTATGTGAACTAGGATGAGCAGGATCCTATTTATACCAAATGTGCCCCTCAGCTCTCCCCCCCACCCCCGCCGCCCCTCCTCCATTTCCTTCCTCCTTTGCCCCACACAGGCTTCAACAAATCCCTTTAAATCTGTTTGATCAATAGTTCAAAACAAAGACTCGATAGACGGAGAGAAGGGGCAGGGCCAAGGCAGCTTCTCCTCCAGGGGTTGAATCCCTCTTAATTATTGCATATCAAAGTTAGTTCAAAGGGTTAGCAGAAGAGCAGGATGTCTGTATCAAAGGCAAACTCTGATAATCACCTGCACTTCCTACCTTCAGTAATCCTTTGCGGGTGGAGGGAGTCTCTTCTAAGATCTGTTTTCGCAGTTAATTGTGCTCAAAGAAAGAATGAATCATATTGGCCAATGTGGCTACAGAAGATGCCAAAAAGTAATGAGCTACAAAATGTCCCAAGAAGCTTTAAACTCTGCCTCAGATAGTGAAGACAGATAGAAAGGAGAGAAAATGCCTTCTGATTAGCTCTGGCATCCAGATGTAAAAACTCCAATAGCTTAAAAGCTGTGAACATAATAGCACCTGTTCCGATTCAGTGTTAATTGGAAAATAATCCTTCTTAAACTGCAAATTGAACTACTTGAAGCCAAGGTTATTTAATTAGGAAATTAGTGAGATTTATAACAGTGCACCCCCCTTCTTTTCTTGATGGTGGGGATAATCTCAGCAAGTCCATTTTATGCAGATTCATACAATTCAATAGGAAGCGTCAGATGCATTTTATGTGCAATGCATTTAATTTGCATTGCATTGTGTTGTGTTAAATGGACTTGAGCAGAACAATCCTCCAAGTCTCTAGCTGATTTCAGGTGGGATTTCATTCATTTTCAATGTTCATAATTTGAATTTTTAAAAATATCTGCTTCATCCCCTTTTTGTCTCTCTCTCTTTTTTTTTTTTTTTTTTGGTCTGCCAGACTGTTGGAGAAGTCAAATCATTTAGACCCATGCTTATCATTGCCTAAGTATTTTTGCAGTAGAACGATCTAGATCTGGGTCAAAATATTTCCCTTTTTTGACTCTTTGTTTTCATTGTCTTCAGTGTAGATTCATCCCGGTGTCTCAGGTGTAAAGGGCTGTTTAAAATATAAAAATACACGGTGGTGGGCAGTGTGTCTAGCTGGCTGGCTTGAAAGGGCATGCGACTCTTGATCTTCGGGTGATGAGTTGAGCCTCATGTTGGGTGTAGACTACTTACATAGATAAGAACGTAAAATCTAAAAATGCAGAGATCCTTGGCTGGCTCAGTTGGTGGAGCATGTGACTTGATCTTGGAGTTGTGGGTTTGAATCCCACACTGGGTATAGAGATTACTTAAAATTGAAATCTTTGGGGGGAAGCCCTGGTGGCTCAGCGGTTTAGCGCCACCTTCAGTCCGGGGCCTGATCCTGGGGACCCGGGATCGAGTCCCACATCGGGCTCCCTGCATGGAGCCTGCTTCTCCCTCTGCCAGTGTCTCTGCCTCTCTCTCTCTGTGTGTGTCTCTCATGAATAAATAAATAAAATATTAAAATTTAAAAAAATTGAAATCTTTGGGATCCCTGGGTGGCGCAGCAGTTTAGCGCCTGCCTTTGGCCCAGGGCGGGGTCCTGGAGACCCGGAATCGAATCCCACGTCGGGCTCCCGGTGCATGGAGCCTGCTTCTCCCTCTGCCTATGTCTCTGCCTATCTCTCTCTGTGTGACTATCATAAATAAGTAAAAATTTTTTTAAAAAAATTGAAATCTTTAACAACAAAAACAGCAAAATCTAAAAATGCGGTTTCTAAGCCATAATGGCAGTCTGGGTATTACTTCAGAACATCAACACATTGAAATGTATCTCAACACTCCATGCAATGGGAGCATTCCCAGTCCTGAGTAATTTAGCAGCCCCTGAACTGAGGCTTCCTTCTCTTGGTTCTGTCTTGGGTTGGGGCTGCTTGTCTACCACCTAAATGGTTCACGGGAACTACTTCTACTAGTACCCCCCCTTTTTTTTTTCCTGCTTCAACTGAAAAACATCAAACACTCTTTGATAGTATGATAAGCCTGGTGACTAGGTGTGTTACAGGATTTTTTTTGAAGTTGGACAATTATGACCAAGGATAAAGGAGAGAACCCCCAGGGTTCCTTCTCTGCTGGGGATCTTTGCTTCCTGTTACCTAACTGAAAAGAGAGTCTCAGGGCACCAAAGGCCTCTGGCAATTAACACAGACAAAAGGACTGATGGGAAATCCTGTAACAGCAGAAACACTCATCGAGCACTGAGCACTTCATATGTAGCAGAACTTATGGTTAAATGTTGGAAATAACAAAACAGTCCTTGGCTGTGAGGAGCTAGTGTCTGGTCAGAAGACACATAAATATCTAGGGATGATTCCATAATATAACAAGCACTAAGATAAAGGCATCAGTGCAGAGCTGGAGGATCACTGAGGAGGGCATATCTAGACCTTCTGGAGAAATAAAGAAATGCATCTACAGAGGAGGTAGTATTTGAGCTGGGTTTTGTGGGATACATGGGCGTTTCCTGGGTCCAGAAGTAGGGAATGGTCTCAGCCCAGGCTCAGAGGGTGAAGGATGCGGAGGGACCAGGGGATGCACTTCAGTGCTAGGGAGAGATTCTATGTGGCGGGCGCAGGTGGTGGAGAGACAAGCTGAGGCTAGACTATGAAGACACCTGATATACCATCCAAGGAAACTGGATTTTATTCTACATGCAATGTAAATCAGAGACATTGAGGTTTGAAAATGGCATGACCTCTGGACACCTGGGTGGCTCAGTGGTAGAGGGCATGATCCTGGGGTCTTCGGATGGAGTCCTGCATCTGGCTCCCTGCTCCACAGGGAGTCTGCTTCTCCCTCTGCCTGTGCTCTGTCTCTCAAATAAGTAAGTAAGTAAGTAAGTAAGTAAATAAATAAATAAATAATCTTTTAAAAAAGAAAGCAGTACTGGCCACGATGTAGAGCAAGGGTTGTGGAGGGTGAAAGGGGGTGCTGAGCCATCACTTAGGTCTCAGTTGCAACCACTCAGTGATGAGGAGGTGGTCCAATATGAAACAGTGGCACAGTGGTGATGAGAACTGTGCAAAGGGTGGGATTTTGAAGTCGAACCCGCATCATTTGATGTAGGAGGTGGAGAGTGAGTGGGAAGGGGTTGCTGAGAGAACTTTGCCATTTCTAATTTCACACCCTGGGTGGACTATGGTGTCTCTAAAGCAGAGAATTCAGGGTGACAAGCAGGTCAGGGAGTCAGGGTGGCTGTTGGCCATGAGGAAAGCTATCCAGCTCATCAAGTTTTTGCTGGATATCTAATATTGAGATACTTTCCAGTAGCAATGCCCTCCATCTTGCCTCCCACAGACAGAGGGGAGGAGAGGATGCACACACCAGACCCCGGAGGGTTACAAATAGGGCATGGAACAGGACGGAAAAGCAGTTTTCTCTGCCTCTGCACTGAGAGAGGACAGGATTTGGGGTGAGGCCAGTTAGTTTCGATCACAAGGCTGGCCTCTCCTATGACCCCACAAAACCCATCTCCCCCATGCATCCACCTACTTGTCATGGCCCTTGCAAAGCTTTATGGTAATTGTCTTCTTATTTGTCTGTACAGCTAGATGATAAACTCTGTGAGGCAGGGCCATCACTGATTCATCTTGATGACGTCATGCATTGAGAGCCTGGCTCTCAGTATGTGATAGATGGATGCAAAAATAAATGTAGTAACTTTGTGGCATTGGGCAAGTTACTTCCCTGTTCCAGGCCACAACCTCCCCAACTGGAAGCTGGCACCATCTCTTCTATAATGACTACGTTTTGAGGGTTCAATATGGGACTACGTGTGAAGGCCTGGTACAGTGGCTGGTGCTCATAACACTAAACGAGTGTCTTTACTTATTTTCTGGGCCAGAACTTTCCATTGTCACATAAACTTCGGTACCTGGCAGATAACACATGGCCCTTCCGTGGCAGGTGCTCCGTAGATCTTTGTTTGATCCAGTTCACCAAGGAAAAATCTCCCTTAACCTAGAGGCTTTTTGGCAACAGGTCTGCTATTTCTAGGTCTCCTAAAAAGGCAGAGCAATTTTGAGGAAAGTAAGAATGTGAAGTGTCATGTGGAATTTAAGAAACAAAACAGAGGAGCAGAGGGGAAGGGAGGGAAAAATAAAATGAGATGAAATCAGAGAGGAAGGCAAACCGTAAGAGACTCTTAACTCTAGGAAATAAACTGAGGGTCCCTGGAGGGGAGGGGGTAGGGGGATAGGGTAACGGGAGGGGGGGGTGAGTGTTAAGGAGGGCATGTGATGGAACAAGTACTGGGTGTTCTATGCAACTGACTAATCACTGAATTCTACCTTTGAAACGAATAATACACTATGTGTTCATTAAATGAATTTAAATTTTAAAAAGAGAAAAGAATGTGAAGTCTCCCTAGAAAATGGCTTTTGGTATATTTTCAAACCTGCCAAGGCTGCTGGCTAATGAATAATTGCGGCGTTCCTCCGCTGAGATGCCAGCTACCGAAATGAGATGCCCTTTGGCAGCATGGACCATGAAGCTGCAGCTCAATTATTTGGGGATTAGAGATGATGAGCCAGGGGAGGAGGATGGCCGGGAGAGGTGACGAGGGAGAGGACAGCTCTACAAATGTTTCTGCGTCAAAGACCTTTCCTCTCTCCTGCATCGGGGCCCCAACCTCACAAAGGCAGGTGCGGAGGCCCCGTTCTTGCAAAGGCACCCGATGTGCCCCGCTGAGCAGCCCCAGGAGCCAAGCAGACCCCAGGAGCTCCAAGGGCCAGGCCACCAGAGCAACCCTCTCG